TCGTTACAGGTATTTCCTTCGTAATTGTTCGCATTTCTGTAACTATACAAGACTTTTGTCTGTAAACTTCGAGGTTTTTTTTTACAGTCTGATTGAAAAATTTTTAATTTAAAATTTTGCTTCTTGATAAACTTTATTTGTTCTTATAAAATCACGTCACTCTTCCATAAGATTATAAGTAACAAACAAAACATCTTGGAGGCTGTGATGTAAATTATAAGGGAATCCAAGACGGATAACAGACAAGCATTTATTTTCCGTCGATTGCACACACTGATACAAGAAGAATCAAAATTGTGGCTACATTCTGCTATAGTCTGTTTTTAAAGTTTTAAAATGTAGAAGCTGTATCAATACTTTGTTTGTGTTTTGAATTCCGCTGTTAAAGATGTTATCAACGTAAATAACCATTTAAGTTTTATTCAGCCTTAAAAAGTAGCTGTCACTGTAGTTTTTGTCTTAAAATCGTTTCCGACATTTTGTTGCAAGATGGCTTTAAAGAGGCCTCTAAAGCGTTTTTTCAGAACTTCACATTTCTGCTTCGGTCTCAACAACTTGCTCTGTTGCTGAAGATAATAATGGTAATTGTGAGAGTGATACAAATGAGATCTCCCACAAGAAGTTGGCCAGCTAATGATTTTATAAGTAATAACCCAGTTACTAAAACATTTAGGATAAAATTGCATATCTTTGGTTTCATTAATAATAATAGTAATCCTCAATAAGTTCTCCCAAAAACGCTATATGGCTTCATCTAAGATGTGTCGTTTAGAGTTTGTTCATGTCGACTTTAAAGAAAATTATTTGAATTTTTAGTTCGAAAGTGTGCCGAACTCTTAAAATTAAAAAGGCTTGTGGTTCAAAACACACGAACAGTGAATGAAAACGCTTTCGAGGCTTCTTCTTATATAACTGTCAGATAACTGAAAGCGGTGCATCCTACTCACTCGCGGAAAATATTATCAAACCTTCTGCTAAGGAGACAGTTGACAGTTGAGAGCAGAATCTGGTTGAGAACACTCGTGCGGCTTACTTAGACTATTCGGGTCTAGTCCAGGTTCCGCAACTATCCGGGGCAACACCTCATGGGCCCTATAAGGGTATACATTGATCCTGCATACATGCTTACATAGTTCATAATATATGCTATAGTACTATATTTCATAATATTCTAATATATGCTTATAGTTACATAGTTCATAATAATATGCTTATAGTTACATAGTTCATAATATATGCTTATAGTTACAAAGTTCATAATATATTTTATAGTTACATAGTTTTCTAATATATGTAGTTACATACATAATATATGCTTATAGTTTACATAGTTCATAATATATGCTTATAGTTACAAAGTTCATAGTATATAATTAAGACACATAACACGCCGAATAATACTGATTCAGAAGTCAACAACAAAATCAGCGTTAATTCACAAAATTTTCACAGGACTAGTTCGATGGTTTTACCGAACCATCATCTTCAGCTGCAAAACCGCAATGAACAAGGTAGGAAATAATGTTTAGATAGATAAGAAAGCCTGGACAAGAATATGCAAGTGGCGCCATCTGTTGGCGAAACCAGAACTAAAACATAATTTCTCTAAAGCCGAAGGCAAATTTGGATTGGAATTAGGATCGTTAACTAGAACAGAAAGATTTTTATGAATGTGAAATGCCTCTAGAAAATCCAGTTCTCCAATGGAAGATGTTTTTTTTGAATAATTTTGGCAGCAGAAAAATTGAAAGTGTGATTTTCGGACCAACAATGTTGAGCAACAGAAGACTTCTGTGTTTCCTTTTTTCTAACATATGCCTCATGTTCTTTGACGCGAAATTTTAAGGCTCTCTTAGTTTGGCCAATGTAAATTAAACCGCACTGGCAAGGAATCCTATAAATACCCCAGGAATTCATATTCGGAATGGGGTCCTTGAGTATAGAAGTTGGAATTTTATTGATGGGAGAGTAAACAACCCGAAAGTTAAATTTCTGCAAAATATGTGCAACTTTATAGCTAATTGATGGAAAGAAGGGAATGACAACAGAATTTTTATAATCTCCTAAAATAGTATATGCTTATAGTTACATAGTTCATAATATATGCTTATATAGTTCATAGTACATGCTTATATACAAGTAGTTCATAATACATAGATCTTTCATAATACGTGCTTACATAGTTCATACATGCTTACATAGTTCATAATATATTGAGCCTGTTACATAATACATACATAGTTCATAATAATTTTCATTGGCCATAATACATACATGTTTCATAATATATACAGTGGACTGTAATACATACATGTTTCATAATATAATGCTAAGGAGACAGTAAAAATGTACGTTAGGTAAAACAAATCTGATGTGAACTCCCTGACTTTCTCGCACGGTCTGTAAATTATACACATTTTTTGCCGCATTTCACTTAAACTTATTTCCTCGAATTTCATTAGAGATATATTTTTCATTGAATTAGTTCTCACTTCGTAGCAAAACAAAAATATATAAACCTTAGAACATCTTTATTAAATTGTAAAATACAGAAAAACAAAAAATACCAAATACAGTTAAAACACTTTAAAAAAAACTTATTACGCTTAAAATTAGAGTTTCTACGCAAAAACAAGTCATTCGGCTAGCGGGCGAAAAGGCAGATTTTTCAATACATTAAAAAAAAAAAAAAAAAAAAAAAAAAACTGAGTTTACTTTTGGTCCCATTTGGCAAAAAGACACTGAAGGGGCAGAAACTAACTTAATTCACTGAACATTATATTTTTTCAGAAATTGATTTATTCACTTTTTTTTACATTTCAAGAGTTTCAAATATAAACAAATGGCGGTTTCGTTAGGCTTAGCAGCACTTAAATGACGTTTAAACTGTTGATAATTCTGTAACTATTGCATGCAGATTAACTAGAGGCATAAAAACCTTAACCGGAACATAAGAGCAACATAATTCAACCATTTTTAAAGGAAAAGTGCACAATTTACCAACATTATAAGAATAAAAAAACTGAGCTCACAGAGCCGGATAACAAAGTGAGTATATATATATATACTTTTGGTGCGGCCGATTGCAGTCATTACGTTTCATCTGAAACCACACAAATTTTCATTAGAGGTGAATTAGCCTATCGATGTATTTGTACTCAATAATAATCATCGTTAGGTATCGCATTACTGAAATGCAATGTTGGAACAAATCGCATTATTGGAGGATCTTCTTTTATGCAAATCTCTACCAACAAGTACTGCAGGAATGGAAATATTTGGTCTCCTAAATGTTTTCTTGAAGAGAATTAATTACTATGCGACAAATTCATGTATATCTATACCGATAAAACAAAGGCCATGAGTTGCATAATTAAAATAGGACTGTGCTACTTACAAAAAAAATCTCCAAAATCTCTTCTAGTAGCCACTGCATGATTCATAGGCAGAGCAGACACTTATTGTAAAACAATTATCCTCTTCATTAAGATTGCTTCTGGGTCAAAGTTATTAATTTCGTAAAATATCGGTTACTATACAATAGTTTATTTAAACTACTGTACGAAGACATGAGAAGTGTACGTACACTGTGCAAAGAAAAAAAAAATGGGACAGTTCTATATCTCCCGTTCTACTGGCCGAATAACGAAATTCAAATTGCGTTTTCCATATCTCGAAAGCGCGACTTAGGATATATATTAGATTTATATATACCTTTTGTTCTAATGTAGATATTTTGACACAAAATGAGACTTTTTCTGAGATAATATACTATTTTTTTCCATATTGATGCTACGACTCAAATTACGCCTAAGTGTTAAATTTTGTAAAATTTGGAGAGAAATTTACGGAGGAATTCAAAAACTTAATTTGGCGCATTTTTTTTAGTTTGAACCAATAATAATTCACTTGGCGACCTTCTTAATATAAGGCAACCTATTTTCGTTTCCCTTACAATGTGAAGGACCGTAAAAAAGTCACATACTTCCTACTTTCAAATAATTTTAACAAGGTGCATAAACCACGTTAGATGTTATTACCGCTTTCAACAAATATGTCAAATTTCAAATAGCGCTAATATATAAGTTCACGTATATCTGCGGAAATTTTGCATAAAAAGCTCTAATTTTTTTGCAGGTATGCTTAGAAATACATCTACTTTAAGTTGACTGTAAAAAATTTTATATGTTATGATTAAAAATGTTTTTTCGAAAAATTTATAAAAATTATTTAAAAATAAATCATAAAAAGTGGGCGAATTTTATTTGGAATGGACCTAAATTTGGAACTGTTTATGAAGAAATCAAATAAGTTTCATAAAAAAAAAAGAGACGCTTTTAACATTTGAGAAACTAAACTTTTGAGAGCTAATTTTTAAAAACTACTCGTGCGACTTTTACCCAACTTGGCAGTTTGGCGTAATTTGAGCGGTAGAATCGAAATATGGAAAAAAATGGCATGTCATTTCAGAAACAGTCCGATTTTGTGTGAAAATACCTACATTTGAACAATGCTATAAATAAATCTAATACATATCCTAATTTCGCAACGCAAGCTGAATTTCGGCAATCGGCTCACTAAAACGGTATATTATGTATTGAAGTCAGATGATAATCTCTAGTAAAACTATTAACGCATATTTTTAGTTAAGAGACGAAGTACATGTGTTTGTTAGAATACAATTCCGAATTGAAAAGTCGATTGACAGAAATTGGCTGTTTAAAATTCACTGTTTAAGTGACAAGTTACATTAATCAATAAATTTAATTGCCAATTTAGCCTTTTCAGGGCAAATAAATAAATGTATTTACTGCTCACGAAATAATTCTTGCTTTCAAGAAAGAAATAGAATTTTGGGCAACTTGCGAACACTCTACGACTCTAATCGTGTCCCAATAATAAAAGGCTTGAAGAGTTTCTTAACACAGAAAGTGGTTAAATTCATGGTAGTGATTTAAGAATCTCATTATTACTTTTTTTATTTTTTCAAGATATCATGCATACTTGTGATCTTCTTGACGTATCTCATGGTCACTAACTTCTTCTGGATGTTTGTGGAAGGTCTTTACCTGTATATTTTGGCCGTGAAAACCTTCTCAATAGAGGTTGTGAGAATGCAAGTGTATGCTTTAATCGGATGGGGTAAGTTGTTACGTTTTTCTATTTGTAATGTGTAGATTATTTTGAATTGACTAATTACTGTTTCAATGACCCCATACAATTTCGCTGATTGAAATTTTTAAACTGTTTGTTTGAATTTTGAACAGTTTAAATGTAAATCACGCGTCATATATTAAAATCGTTATTTGCAAAACATTATTTTATATCACTACATGGGCAGCAAGTAAAAACTCTAATTAGGTTCTAATTGGATAAATGTAACATTTTGTTAAGGAATAGTATAGCAATCATGTATCCATATCAATTCCAGCGGTTGCAGCCGACGAAAACATCGCAGCAAAAACATCGCGGAAGAAAACGTCGAGGAGAAAACAGGCAAGAAGAAAACGTCGTGGTACAAAACATTGTGGGAGAAAAGAAAGCAAAGAGCAGTTCTAAAACATCGTGGTCCGAAATATCGTCGTCGAAAGTATTGCGTTAAAAAATAAAGCACCTGCAAATCATCGCATGACGATAACTTCGCACGCATGCGTTTTTCAGGTTTTAAAAGTTGTAAATGCATATTCGCCATAAAGATTTGGAAGAGCAAGATATGTTAACGACACTTCAAGAATAAACGGGAACAAAACGAGGTACAGTTTTCACCAAAATTATATCAGATTAACCAACGTGAAAGAAAGTAATTTGATAATTAGCAAAGCAATTTTCATAAAGGTAAACTCATGCATTTATTTAGCTTCCTTTTTTTAAACGCTTTTAGGCTGTATTTTTCATGAAAAATTATGAGTAAAACTTCATAAAAAAGGATTAATTTATTAATGATATTTGTAAATTAAGTATGCAAATTTAAAATTCTGTTACGTGCTGGAAGTTGCATTAATTTCTACTCATTTTAAATTTTTAAATGCTTAAGTTTCCTTCTTATTTTTTCAGCAAAAATTTATTAGTTTATCAAATTATGAATTATAAAAGTCAAAATATCCTCTTTCCTTCTTGCACTGCCAAATCATTATGCGAAAATGCATTTACAGCTTTTAAAACCTGAAAAACGCATATGTGCGATGTTATCGTCATGCGATGATTTGTAGGTACATTATTTTTTACCACGATATTTTCGGTGATATTATTCACCCAGAAATTTTGAAATGAAGGCAAAACTGATAATTATGCAGATTAAAAATCAATGTAAAAGCAACAAAAATCGATAAAGACTATAACGCATTATGCGAGGACTAACCGCCTAAGGTAAAGGAGCTCCCACCAGCGACCGTTGAACACGGGTAATTCGATCTGGGTTCGATCCAGACGAACTGGTTTAGCTGTATGGGGTGTTTTCGTGACTTTCCCTATGTGTAACGTGGCTATGAATCACTTTCCCTTAGAAAGTCTTCCAGGAAGGTTCCAGGAAGGTCCCTTGTTAGAGAAGACAGCCCTCGCATGAATTAAACCAAACCAGTCTAAGAAAGGTGATGCCTTCTTGGAAGACCTTTCTAAGGGAAACTGGCTCGTTTACACGTTATGCATCGGGAAAACCACGGAAGTTTCCATCTCATGAGCCTGGATTACAACCGGAGTCGAACTATCCGTGTTAAGCGATTTTACCGCTCGACTGCAGTTTGGCCGCCATTCAGTAAGATAACAGTTGGAACCAAATGTTTTAGAACTAAGTAAGAAAAACGCAACGGCTTCCAATTTACATAGCTTCTGATTTACAAAAAAGAACAATAAAAGTGTATTGTTTTGAAATACTGAAACTTGAAACTTGTCGAAATGATTTAAACAATAAGCTGTGTTTTAAACACAACAGATGAAAGCTGTGGTGAGGTGATATTTAATATTTCTGGGTGACGGAGATCTTACAGCCTGATCAAATTTTTCTTGAATTTTCAAAGTATAAGAAATGAACAGGATATTACACTTAAAAAGAAAAAATAAAAAAAAAAACCAGTTGTCAGATGCTCTCGCTAGGCCTTGTTTTTATTTCTGATGATTCTTCAAGGTTATTGCCTAACCATTATTAGATGGAATAATTATGATCTTGAACTTCGAATAAATAACAATCGTCTTCAACAAAAATAAATATCAGGAGGAAAATGATAATATTAATTTTCTTCATCTGCTTAACCACTGATAAAACGACCCATCTTTCCGGTAAGGATATTTTACAATCTAAACGAACTTTTATGTTTATAAATTTTCATAATGAGTTCATCATCAACAGATGAAAAAACAATAGTTTAAAGACGCTTCATATATCATTAAGAAGTGTAGTTAAGGAAAGATTTAGAGTTTAACTGCCTTCATATGAAAGACTATTGTAAAAAGAACTTAATGAAGCTATCTTAAATTTTGAAACTTTTATCATACATATGAAATGGAATTAAAGTTAAAATATTAAGTCCTAATTCTCCAATAAATTTACCATTTAGTGTTCCCTTGCTATAACTGCATTTTAGATATAACGAGTGTCTTGCTTAAAATGCACGAAAATAAACGCTCCTGGAATAATGCGCTTAATTAGAAAATCAAAATATAACGACTTTCACAATAGAAATCCAGAATATTCAGAGGAAAAGTGATCTAATATAGAATAAGTGAAACCAATGGACAATCGAAGCTGTGGCAGTTGTTGATGTAATGACTTACAGTCCAATCTGTTAACTACCTTAAAGTCTCTTTACTTTTACTGAGATACGGAAAAGGTGAAACAGCAGCTGAAAGAGTCACAAAGTGTTTTAAGTAATTTTATAAAACATAAATACTACATGAAGTGTTTTTGACTTGCATATACATGTACCGACACAGAAATTTACGTTTTGTATGCTATATTTTTACTACTTTCCTATTCTCTCATTATTGTTACTAATACTTCTGCTCTAAATTTTACATATCATCAACCTCTCGACAAGATGTTCGGCTTGACAGTTTGTTAAGAGCCCCCATACCCCAAAGACACCATGCACTTACAAACACCCGTGCCTTCTGTGGGATTGGAACCCGGGTTAAGGACTTTTAAACTATGCTACCCTACAAAGAGGACAGCTGCTAATTTGTTTATTGTATTTTACTCTGAACATTCATTTATCAAAACATCCACTGAAATGCATAAATGTAGTTTTTGAATTGAATTATTAAATCTTGATTCATAAGCACATTATTATTTCTCCTTCAATATAACTGCGATTTAATCCTGGCAGTAATTCTCACTTAATAATTAAGAAACTGCTGTAGGTGCAAACATACATTTATGTGAGCTAATAAACTGTTCAGACAGTTTAAATTCGTATTATTTACTTTATAATCATTAAAACAAATCTGATAAATCCTATTTTTACAGGTTTACCAGCAGCAATTGTTGTATCTTGGGCTTCGGCGAAAGCTTATTTGGCCCCGCTGTCCAAGGACCCATTAACAGACGAGTGAGTACTCTATTTCATGTTATCATTCAAAGATATTTTTGAGTAGTTATTTATACTAAGAATTTCAATGGCAAAATTATGCAGATATAGCTTAATTATGCAAAAAATAAGCCAGTAATGAGGAGGATTAAGCAGAATGTGATTTTTTTCTTATAGGAAAGTTAATAATATTTACTATCAGTTGTTTATCTAATCATTATATCCTATCTCGTTCATTTGCGCTTTTACAGCTGAGGATGGTGGTTCGGTAAAACCTTCGAAACTAGTCCTGTGAAAATTTGAAAATATAACGCTGATTTTTGTCGTTTGACTTCTGAATTAGTATTTGTTCAGCATGTTATTGTGTCTTAATTATCAGTTGCTTATTAAAATAAACCTTGTTTGTTTTCTGTCACTTGTTTCACATAAATGATAAAATGATCCTATTTAATGCTATTTCACTCAGCGATTTATTTTAAAAGAAAGGGAAATCAATAAGTAGGTATTGTATTCAGCATTTTTGTTAGGTTTGTGCGCTTTCTGAATTGAGAACTTCTTGAGATTTAAGAACATAACTATGAGTATTATTTCAAGTAGAAGTCTAAATAATCTATCTATATTTTTAAACTCCCGGCCTGTTAACTGAAGAACACTGCGGAGAAGTCTAAATAATTGAATATCAGCGCATTATAGTTAATGCTGTTAAAAAAAACACTTTAATCTTCAGTTCTATTGAAATATTTAATTTTGTTTCAGCTGTGTGTGGCAAACAAAAGACAACACTGATTACATATTCATTTGTCCTGTTATCGTCGTACTAGTGGTAAGTATCTGAAATATACTATGCCTCTAATTCTCCTAAGGCTGAACCTAATTAACTGTTAAAAATTTAAAAATTACACTATGCTTAACTTTACTGTACTTCCATTGACTTCATTAATCTAGAAATCCTGAGTTCTAACAATACAGACAAGATGTAAAACTTAAGTTTAACATCTAGTAAGAGTTTATTAACAATGCGTCTTGTTGCTTTTGTTGACTGATACTTGTCTTACCTACAGTCATCCCAAGCCCACGAAATTCCTCGTGGCAAGAGGTGTAAGATTACGTCTGTCGTTGGCAGCAGCCTTGAGCCCCTTACAGGTGACAGATTGACTTTGCTCCGTTCCGCCCCCAATTTTGATGGATAGTACGCCGGGGGTACGGGTCCGAGGATTTGCCACCTCTCTTCCTCTACCATCAACCTCTCGAGAGGACTTTCGATTCGCCGTATATTTAGAGTGCCCCCATGCCGCAAGGGCTCTATACATTTACAAACATCCATGCCTTTTCCGGGGTTCAACCCGGGCCTTTCGGCACGCTGGGCGGCCTGCGTCATGTATTGCAATGCCATCTTTCTCCCACTCTTTATTGGTGATTGTAACATTATTCCTGGCTTCCTCCATTTTGTCCGAATCCAGAAGAAACGTTCCACCACTTCATTTCTTGAAATCTGCCGACGAAGGAAAAAATCATTCTCTGTTAGGTCACGCATATTTGGGAAGATCTGTTTAAACACCTCAATAGCTATTCTATAAGAATGCATTGCTTCGCAATGCTCAATCATAAAATTCGTTCTGCTTTGGGGTAACTCATCTCCACCTTGCATCAAATGCAAAGCGCATCTTAAAGAGCGAAGTTCACACGGAGATATCTCGATACTCCGTAGTCGACTGAGAAATTGAGAACTGATACTCTCCCTGACCTTATATAGTTTTCCTCGGAAGCCAAGAAATCTCTAGTACCTTCCATTTCTCGAAATTACTGGAAGGCATATGAGGGCTGGATACGGTTGAATTTACATATAGGGACCAATTACAGTTATATAGGGATCGAAACAAAATGTTGCCAAATGGTGGCCAGGTCGGCGACATCTCTCGATTTCACGCCAAATCTTACGACAAAAATTTGTCGCCAAAACCATAGCCAGCCCGCTGATATGTCACCAATTTAGCGAGATAGCCATTTACCTCAATGTTAGAGTTGCCCTGTAATTTAACTTTTCTAGCAGAGTTTGTCTCTTTCAAGAACTTCATATTACATTATAGAAAAAATATTACTATTTCACATTGTTATTAGTGTCAATAATTTCACTAAATTTATTTACATATACACAAAATTCAAAATTCTTTATAGTGTGCTACAATTAAGGTAATTAAACAGAGAATTATTTCCCAGTTCTACGAGCTTATACACAGACAGGTATTTTTGCAAAAAAGAATAATATATTTATAGCGTCTTACTTGTGTAATACTAATGTCATTCAGACCCTAGTAGAATGGCAAGCGAATTATTGCTCCATCTAAATAACCTTCTTATTTAATCTTAAACAGACGACATAACTCGTGCTTACATTCAAAACACTATAACCTGCGGATACAATCAAAACACTGTAACTTGCGGGTGTAATCAAAACACTGTAACTTGCGAGTCAATCAAAACACTGTAACTTGAGTGTTTTTAAAATAACATAAATTCAAATTTATATTGCATTCAACAATTTGCAAGTATCCTAGTCGGAGAATACATCAATATGGTCTGTTAAAGCTGGCTCATTATTTTACATGGCGCATATTACGTCGGCTAGCTAGATGGCTAAAGCCAGAATATTCACTGCCAGAACTGGGGAATAGAATAGAAACTCCAGTTGCTGCTACCAAGAGCTAAGACATTCAAAACCCTTGACTTAAATACTGTATCATCTAATTTGCATCCTCGGGATGGCTACGGAAAGAAGAAGTTATAGGTTTAAATCATAATAATTGATTTATTAATATAAAGTACTTTATATATTTTGCATTTCTCTGAATAGTTTTTTCTTTTCTGTTCCAGGTGAACATTTTCTTCCTCTGCAAAATCATGTGGGTTCTGATAACCAAACTGCGCATTGCAACTTCAGCAGAGTCGAAACAGTACAGGTAAAGTAAAGGATCTATGAGGATTGTATTATTAGCTACATACGAGAAACAGTGCGCAGCTTATAACACAGTCCTCTCTTGCTTTGTATTTCTCTTTGTTTGCTCAATTTTTAACTGTTTCGAAAAACTCTTGTGATAAATCATCACCTCTGGCAGTACCTCCTCTGGCGGCAGCGAGTCTCCACCTGACTCTGAATCTGAAAAGGAAACGGCAGTGGAAGCGTGCTGGGCCCATAACCAATGAAGAATAAAATGACGTCTTCCATATACGTGACAAACGTTTATTTAAGCTATGAAGACATTGAACAACAGAGTAGAAACATGATATTACACAGGGCTAAACACTTCTCGCTTACATGCGATCCTCACCATTGACGTCGGCCAACTGCCTACAGAAAAGTATTCCGCAGCAGAGAACTTGCTTATCATGCCCATGCGCTAGGTAAATCAACGTCGAAAGTGTTTTTTTTTTTTTTTTTTTTTTTTTTTTTATAGGAGACTCAACGTTGAAAGGGGGAAGGGGGGTTGCGGTTTGTTTACTCTGAATGCATATCTTACAAGTAGAAAGAGAGTCATTTTGAGAAAAAGAAAGACTTCTAACCACGTTGTTTAATTGAAGTTTTTAAAGCTCATTTTGCGATTTCGAATGTAAGAAGCCGTTCGGCCCGGAATTTCTGAGGCAGATTGGATTGCAATAACAAACATCGCGCCATTGAAACTAAACTGCGATTTAATCTTTCGGCGACGCCATTCTGGGCTGGCGTGTAAAGAGTACTCATTTCGCGTTTTATTCTGTTGTTCAACGTCTTCATAGCTTAAATAAATGTTTGTCATGTATATGGAAGACGTCATTTTATTCTTCATTGGTTATGGAACCACACGCATCCACAGCGCTTTCCTTTTCAGATTCAGAGTCAAATGGAAGCGTGCTGGGCCCATAAACATTATTTACGATTATCTTGCAAGGAGAGAGGGCCAACTTAGTCACAGAGATTCTGCTCAAATACTGCATAGATACAGAGGATATTAAAGTAAATATATGTGTAAAGTAAAATCTAATAAAGAAAAAAAAATTTTTTTTTATACATTTTTCTCTTAAAAATATTTAATCTGAATAAATTTTCATTAAAAATAAAATAACATTAAAAAAATAAATAACTGCGATAAAAACCTATGTTATGAATAAAATATTTCAATTCCAAAAGCCACCAATTATTTGGAGTACGCGATGCCACCTGTCTTGTAATCGAACATCTTTATCATAAAACAATTGAAAATAAATTTCTTGAAGAGAAAAATAAGTTACAAGGAAATAAATGAAAAATTTGTTTCTCTTCGGAATTTTATAATGCATTTTTTTCTTCATTTTTTTCTTTATTTTCTCTTAAAATAATTTTGCTGAAGGAGTTTTATTTCAAAATAAGGTAGCAAAAGAATTAATAGCACCGAATATAAAAAATGGCCGCTGTTGGTAGACAGATTCAAAAGAGGATTTCTTATGGTTTCATTCTGTTCCAAATTATAAACGTTTGTTGGTTAAAATGAATGTAAAGCATAATTAAGCATGGAAAGAAATGTATCTTCTTCCGATATGTATTCACTTGAACGTTTTCTGTAACTACGCAGAATTTAGAGGAAAATGAATGAGATCCAGACAGTGAACTTATCTTCTTAATCGCATTTTTCAATATATCTTTCTCGTCCATTCAATGTACTTTGTCTTTTAATAATTTTAACAACGGAAAGGAAACATTCTGTGTCAAATACCGAGATTCAAAAACTGAAATGTATTTTTTTTTTATATATTTTGTTAAAATTACCGACACTTTTGGTCCATCATAGCACAAATATTTACTTTTAATAATTTGTTTGGCACTATTGCTCAGAAGTAAGATATGTTTTCACCATTTGCCAATAAAGCGTTATATAGAAGAAAAATACAAGGAAAGAGTGAACTGAAGTTAGAAGTTAGTCGTGCATAATGCACGTAATTCATACAAAATGACACATTAAGTCTATATAATAAAAAACGACAAACATTATCTTTTCTTTCCTTCATTTCGCCATCTAAAGAAAAGTTAGTCTACATGTTTAGGTGTTCCTCAGCGTGTTGGATTTCGTCGACGGAATAAAAACAACATAGATCTTAGTGCAATGTCTTCCAGCACTTGCCTGTGTAAAATGAAAATTATTGAAAGAACTAATTCGTCAGTAAGGAGACAAAGTATATGCTGGGGAAATTGTTATTCCAGTATTACAGTATAAGTTGGCCATGCAAATATAATAAAGGCAGCGTCTAGGTACTATAGATATAAAAGGGAAATAAGTATAATTATTTAAGCATTACACATCATGAAATAAGCAAAATTTACGGAATAAAGTTCACAAGAATGTACGTGGATGTGTGATGCAGTCATTTTATAGAGACGCTAATCATGAGTTAATGTTAAAAACTACAAATTTATATACACAGATTACAAATATAGAGAACTAATGCTGAAGCTAATAAACTAAGAAATGAACTGTTATACATGAGTTAAATAATTATATATAATGGTTTGATATAGAACTGCTTCACTACTTACAAAACATTGCAGTGTGACTGGCGGTATTAACTAGTCTCCTTTGCGATTCAGGACCATAGGAACTACAACCCTTAATGAAGGATACTACACGCCTGTTTTACAAGGTGTTAGTTGTCCATGCATGACAAATCTCAGCTGTCTGCTTCCAGAGATGGCAGTTGGAGATAAATGGGCAATCAAATGCATAGTACTCGGGTCGTCAATCTCTCCGCATATGCAAAGGTTTCTTTCCATAAAACCAAACCACTTAAGACAAGTCATAAATTGTCAATGCCCAATGTAGAATTGCAGAAGCTCTGAGTTGCCACTTTTAAATAATTAACTGAGCTTTCATATGAAATGGAACACTCTTCTGCCTGGAACTTCATTATTCCAGTTTAGTTGCTGGTTGATGAGGGAAGATTTTAGAAGATAAAGGAGTTAAGGAAGGAAGATTTTAGATGCAGCTGGCAGTTTATTGATGTTATATTAATGGTGAATTTGGCAATCTGGTCAGCTATGTCATGGTGTCATTGTTAAAGTCAAGATTCCGGTATTGGCCAGTACCCATGGAAGCTATCCCCCGGGAATTCTTGATGGAATTGGAGGATATATATCTAGCAAAATGTCGAGCACTTAGTCTCATGTGATTGAGATTTGAACTACAGACATCTTTGAACTTTGAAAAAGGTTAAGCAAAATGGTGCAAAACGTGTTTGTATATTTCGCAGAATGTACAAACATGTCTCTTCTCACATTAATTCTTTGAGCCATTATTGCTGGTCCGAGAATGCAAAATGCACCAATAATTGCATTATCAAAGACATGCCGGAAATTGCATGAATAAATTTCTCTCATAAGAGCAAACTTCTTAGCATTATCAGATAATGTCAAAGCTTTCAAAAGATATTGACCATCTACTACCCAATCTATTGTATCTTTACCTGAACTTTTAAGTCCTTAAAATTAATGTCTTTCTTATCTTCAAAAATAAGAGGAACACCAACAATTGCTCCCCAGGGAGAATTTAAACCTCCAGCATGAAATGTATCATGACCAATGACATTAAAGAAGATTATTTTCTTCTTTTCTTCTTCAATTAACTTCGAATCATTCAAAACCTAAAAAGAATGCAATAATTCTATTAAAAATGTATCTATATAAACAACTAAACAGTTTTTACTTACATATCATCATATTCAATCTGTGATCTGGCATGGTCCTGCTGCAATACAGCTTCTGTTCTCTTCACAAAACAGACACTTTTCTTGATTGATGCCTGCAGATGTATACAGTGATGATCAATGATTATCATTGTTTGTCTTTTAGTTGTTCCTTAATGTTGTACACATAAAGCAATAAGCCTTAAAATCCCGCAAAAAATGTGCAAAATCTTCTTTCGGTATAATCCTTATTTAAACTATCAATTTATTTGCATTGGTCAGTAATCTCACAGGAAATGATTTGTTTCAAAAACATGACGACGATTAAAACTCAGTGAAGCACGTTCCTCTCAGGGAAACTGTGTGGGATCTATAACATTATAATAAATTATCTGGCTTATAAATATGTTCGTGGATGCTGTGTTTTGATAAGCTGAATACTTATGGTAATTCATGTGTTATTTATGCTGATGGCATAAAATCTTCTCCGACTCTTCATCGTAAAGCCTGGTTAAGTATTTGTGAACTATTCTACGTGCCTACAGTAACGATCTCTGTATTCTTTTGTCCTTCCGCTTTTAGTCACATATTGTAATAGAAGTTACCAAATAATAAAATTATTTGTTCCAGCTAAATAAAGCCGCTGCATAGGGAACAAATGTGCTCAAGAAAAATCTTATGTTTATTAAAATTTCAACTGTTCCCTCAATTTCACTCTATGGAGGAGCACACATAAGACTATATTTTGGTTACCAGTGTAAGAGAATCTTACGAAGCGCTGGTCAAGATAAGATGGTCCTAAATTAAGAACCTGGCTTTCTGTCAATATCACTTTTATAGGCAGAGCTGATAACTATTAAGGAAATGTTTAGCTTTCCTCTTCCATCAACATCCCAACTGATAGTCCGATCATATTACTTCTTTTCATTAGGGGACTTACAAAGAATGATAAGCTGCTTATCGTAATAGTCAGCGAGTAAATTTGCATGCGCAGAACGTCGCAAGGCGCAAACGTCGTACTACAAAACATCGTGGGAGAAAACATCGCAAAGAGAAAACATCGCAGTTCTAAAACATCGTGGTACAAAATATCGTCGTCGAAAATAAAGCGGTCCAAAAACTTCGCAGTTTAAAAACATCGTCGTCAAAAATATCGCAGTGAAAAATAAAGTATCGACAAATCATAGCAGGACGATAACATCGGGCACCTGCTTTTTTCAGGCTTGATAATTGTATGGATATTCCCATAATGATTTGTGAGCGCGAGATGGAAAGAAGATAATTTTCTTTCATATTTTTTATTACAATAAATTTTTACTGAAAACTAAGAAGGAAACTTAATATTTAAGAAAAACCGAAGCAAACAAGAAATATTTTTATAAGAGTATTAGATTTACAAAAGTAAAGAAATAATCTCATAATAGCATTTTTTATAGATAAGTCATGCAGTTAGCTAGCTTCCTTTTTCTAAACTTTTTTAGATTATACTTTTAATGAAAAATTACCAGTAAAAACTTTGTAAAAAATGATTTATTAATGACCTTTGTTAAAAATAGCCTGTTGGGAAAAAGAACAAAATAAGCCTGATTTTTCCGCGTGGTTTTCGTCGTCTTGTGTTTGTATGACCTTTATTACTTAACTATGACAGTTTAAAATTCTATTAAGTGCTATAAGTTTCCTTAATTTCATGCTTAAATTTCCTTCTTACTTTTTCAGCAAAAAATTTTAGTTAATAAAAATATAAAGTAAAAATTATCCTTCTTCCATCTTGCGCTCACAAGTCATTAGGGAAATATCCATTTAAAATTATTAAAGCCTAAAAAAGCATGTCGCGATGTTATCGTCATGCGATGATTTATAGATACTTTATTTTTTACCACGACATTTCCGACGACGATGTTTATAAACTGCGAATTTTTGACCGCTTTTTTTGGACGACGATATTTTGTACCACGATGTTTTAGAACTGCGATGTTTTCTCCCACGATGTTTTGTATCACGACGTTTTCGCCTTGCGTTGTTTTCTCCGCGACGTTTTCGTCCGCGATGTTTTCGGCTGTCCCCAAAATATACTGATAAGATCTGTCCCCTCAGGACATAAATAATAAATGCTCTGAGAAGAAATAATGCTCTCTAAAGAGATATGTACGAACCAGAAGGCTAGTCGTGCGTACCATTTCTATATAAAATTTGCATTTTTAGCAAACATAGGCACAAGCTTTCTACATTTCCTCATTCTCCAGTCGAGTCACTGAGCATTAAACATTGAACTCATGACCTCTCCAAAATAAGGCTTGGTGTACTACACTTCTAGGTAGGTAGCATATGAGGATTACATTTGATGACCAAAATGGTATAGAAATTATGTCCTTCGTGCTAGTACCTATACCTGTACCCATCAATATCTGCTGAGTAACAGAGGCTCCCTGGGTACAAATACAGCGAATACACATGTCCATGAAGAAAAATCTTAATCACTTTTTCTTTGCAATATGATGATGCCAAAGAACACCAAACAAACCCTGTCAGCATTTTAAAACTTTCTGTTTCTTATCATTACCCAAATTTAGCGTTTTCCTAAGCTAAAATTATTTAAATTCCTTAATAAATATAGGCGTTTCTGTACATTTTTCCACTTTCGATTTCTTTCTTCTACTACACCATAGATCATTAATAATGGGAGATATTACATTTTTAGACTGTAAAATGGTTGAAAGTAAAGTAATAGTTAACAGAAATTATTGTAATTCATCGAGTTACTATACAATCGCTTTGTTTCTACATCTAGCTCATAGTACTTATGCACAGCAGACATCTTATGACATGTAGCGACTGATATTTAATAGGTTATGAATATTAATCACATAATTTCCGAAACCCACATTACATTTTGGAGCGATAAATAATAAATAATTATGCCTGGGCACATTGGTTGAGGTAAAAATTTGATCAGAAGCGTTACTTTCTAGTAAGCCTTAAAATAGTGATTCATTATTTTCACATAGTTATTATTTTAGGTCCATATGAAAGTGAAATGAATGAACGTGATAAAAAGTTGTGCATCGAATAGAAAAGTTTGAATCATTTTTGTATTATGGAAATTAGAGACTACTTAACACCTTTTCTTTCATTTACTTAGGTTAATAGCAATGCTAATATAATGTTGAAGCAATAAGGCAACCTATATTCTCATTAAATCTAATTTACCTTCTAGGAAAGCAGCAAAGGCCCTCCTGGTACTGATTCCTCTGCTGGGTATGACGTATGTCTTGGTCATCGTGACCCCTAGTCATCGAACGGCAAGAGTTATCTTTTCCTATCTGCAAGCTGTTCTTCTCTCTACCCAAGTATTTTTTTTTTTTTTTTTACTTTTTTTTATTTTCTGAATTATTTTTACTAAATAAATGATTAGAAGACACTGAAGAAAATATTTTCTTTTCGCAGGGCTTCACTGTCGCTGTACTGTATTGCTTTTTGAACGGTGAGGTAAGTCGATTTTTTGTTTCTTATGTAAGCAGTTAAGAAACCTTAACAATACAGTGCCAGAACAAGATATCATAACAAATTGTGTCACTAAACAATTTGTTTCTATCTTTAACTTTAAATCAATTGATTAAAGCTTTTTGCTTACGGCTAAAAAGATAAATAAACGTAATTCATTCTCCTAATAAACATATTTTAATCTTTGAAAAACACATTAATTTACGTACATCGGGTCAAAATTATTTAACATTTTGTATATATTTCTCAAACAAATTACCAGATTTTTACTGAAACTTAATCTGAAATATATGTGTTTAATTTTTATTTTTTAATATAACTTTTTATGCATATATTTTAAAAGTCTACTTAATTGTCCAAGAAAATTCTTTTATTATTTAGGACTGTTTCTGACTATTCACTGAAATTCGAAATATTGTATATTTTCTTCTAATTGTGGTTTTAATTGTTTTACGACAGGGTATTATTTATCGCTTCTTTTACTGATATGTTTATGCATTAAATATCACTGTTTTCGTGCATCGAAACATAGAACAAAGCAAGAAACACTTGTGTTACAAACTTTTAAATAAGGCACGAATTTCCAAAAGTCGAGAGCGTGGGAAATTGTTTTTATCACTCAATTAAAATATTACAACAAATTCCAATAAAATTTTGGATTGATATCAATATCTATGTTTCTGTCACTGACCAGTGTTAGAAAACATGATTTTTTTATTTGTGGATTTTTTTGATTTGTCAGTTTGTAGATTGCGGGATTTGTATAGATGCACACTGAGGAATTTCGGCGTCGTGGATACAAATAATACGTGAGATAATCGATTCTTTAATTTTTGCTTTTTGAAATGCATATTTCACACAAATCTTAGAAATATCTTTGGACGGAATCGAAATTTTTGGATCGAATACATGTAGAAAACAAAAACACTCAAAGGAATCTCCGTTTGGAAGCATAACGAAGAAGCAACGACTAAACAGATAGAGAAATTCTCAAACTTCGCATTTCTAAATGATCCTGACAGAAATCTAGTTAGCTTATATCTTTAGGTTCGAAGTTTCCTTGAAATTTCTCCTGGTGATGGCTATATGAAAGGCTTGTCTAAGGTAACTCGTTTGAGTAGATTTGAAGTAGATTTGTTTTGTTAACTCGTTTGAGTAGATTTGAAGTAGATTTGTTTTGTTAACTCCAACACTTGATATAATATTTCATTATTGAAAATAAACTGCATTTTCCTATAAAATATTCAAAAGAACAAATAAGGTGAGCAAATTGGAGTAGCAAATGTATGTCTGAAAACTTTAGAATTATTTTAGTTTTGACGGTTGTGAAACAGTTCTTTTTATACCACAGGTACAAAAATCGATGCGTCATCTTTGGCGTCGTTGGTCCACACGCCGCACTGTCCACGGCTCCCACCACTCCTCTCAAACAGAGCGGGACAACAACTTGAGGATGTATCGAAGTACCAGAGGCACCCAGAATAGAGGCAGCTGCGTCTCCTTCACGACCACCACCACTAACTGGCAGTCCAACTGCAACCGCTGCGACTGAAATCAGCTTTATTACCATACCATCTTTAGTTGGACAGATTCTCTTCAGAAGAATTTTGCCTGATTCACTTTACACACTTTTTCACTCTTATTCAGTTTTTAAACGATATACGCAATGCGTTTACGAAGTTTAAGGACTGATTTGTTTCAACAAATTTCAGAGAAGCTCCAAATCGATAACTTGGGGCAATAATTAGTAACATATCTCAGTTTATTTTCCTTAAATTATCATCCTTTTGTGGAAAGATATTTGAATGCAATTGTCTGCAGCCAATTTACGCAGCCAATCGTTTTCTTTATGGATATAATCCATGAGCAGACAGAAGCAATCATTCCCTTTCACAGTATAAATATTGCTTCTTTATTGCAAAGAAAGTATTACTCTGCACTTGTAAACCATTTTCTGTTCCCTAAAGTGAAAATTTTACTTAAAGGGTGCTATTTTCAACCAGATTAGGAATTAAGAAAACCCTTATTTCGAGACCAAAGATGATTCCAAATCTTAACTGGTGTAAATCAATCTAGAACCTCCAGGAATATTTCGGAATGTCAGAATATTTCGGAATTCTCCAAGAATATATAGTATCACTATGAGCGTACAATAGACATCCTATTAAACATAAATGCATTAAATAGGGTTTATTATTAGCAGGAATCCTCTGAAAATATTAAATTTCTTTGTTGCGGAACGTTAAAAAGTAACTCGATGATTTTGTTCAGATTCTGCAGCAAATATTAGTCTTCATTCCCACTTATAACTCAGTTTCTTCCTTTCTAATGAAAATTCTACCTCCGATATTTTGTGGTGTGTTCTTTTTGCTTTGAATACAAATTTAATTTCCGTAATTAAGACAGTATGTTCTACTGATTAAGCTGCTTAAAAATACAAGTAAATTCTTACTGATTTTTCAAATTAATTCCAATATTTTTATTTCTCTTTGTGTTTTTGACTGTCTTCAGATAAGCCTGTTGCTTTACTAACCGTACATGTCTTTCCAATATTTTTCCGGTTAATCGGGAATACACTATATATGGAATACACAATGGTGAATATTAATGTTAATATTAATATTTTATTTCGACACGTTTTGCAAATGCAGTTCTAAAACTTCGTTAACGCACTGTGTATATTACGGCAATTCTGAGATAGTATAATAGTAGAATTCTTCGCATGTTTGCAGTTTATATATATCTTTAATCTTTATTAATTTTGTATAAGTAGAATTACCCACTTTGTGACTCGTGATGTCTCTTCAAATATGTGACATATGTTGAAATTTTTGTCTTACTGTTTCTCGCATTGTGTCGCATCTCTAATTATAGAAAAGCATTAGATTTCTTCTGATATGCTGTAGTTATTCAATAAATTCCCGAACGGAACTCAGCGCAAAGAAAGACTAGGTGTTATAACATCAACAGATCTTTTATTTTGTTGCCATTATGATTAACAAAAAATTATTAAAAAAATACTTCTTCCTGCTGTTACGTAGTATGCCAAAACTGCCATTCTTTTCAGTTCAACTGGATGACATCAGATTTTTCATCTCATCTCGCGGTCTTTCAATCTTCCGATTTTTGAATTTTTAATTTGTATGAATTTAAATATATTCAAACGCAGCTCAAGAATAATTCTGAATCACATAATTGATCAATTCTTCGATTTTCGAAGGGAAAGGAAATGCTATGAAGAAAAATTTTGATTCCAAAATCTTAATGAAAAGCTATTAAGGAATCTAAGAAAAGGCAATTAATGAAATCTAAATTACGCAAATTTCCTTTATTACCTCCTAGTACCTTTCGGTGTAACTTTTCTGATTAATTGTTATTTTATCTTAGCTGCATTAATCTAAAACAGAAATTTTCAAGATTCTCTATAATATATGGTTAGTAGATAAATATTTTCATTTAATTTTGCTTTGAATTTTCACCACACAGAAGGAGAGTAAACTGCTCGTCAAAATGAAAGGATATTTACAGAAATAAAACTTAACTGTTATTATTTTAAAATGATTAAAACAAATTGTATTATTTACATTGTATTATTAATTGTATTATTAATTGTATTATTTTTTTATTATTATTATCAAAACAAATTGTATTGTAAAAGTATTATTTAACATAAATTGACATGTTTGCCAGACGACTAATTTCAAAATATCGAAATTAAAATCAAATGTATGGAAATTTATAAATGATCAAAAAATTATCTCCCTTTCATAAAAACATCTTTCTTTAATATAGTGTTCGGTTACCTCTGACTTAACTGCAAACCTCCTATTTTGATTGCATACAGTTTACCAAACTCTGTTAATCAAATCTTGTAGAACTAACTGCATGTCATTCTTCTATTTGAGAAAAAAATTCCAAATTCTATGTTACAATTCGGGAGGCATTTATTTGGCTCCCTGCAATTTGGTAGCGTAAGGTATTTGACATACGTTTAATCGGGTTCAGTTCTGGTGCGTAAGCTAGCCAGTTCATTCGAGTGATACCTTTTGTTTCCAAGTGTTCTGACGCCAAACATTCTTGATAACGGGAGAGCAATGTCATCCATTAGCAACAGCTTGAGGCTGACATCCCCCTATGCAGCCTTGTATGAGTTTCCAAGACCTCGTTTACATATCTGAGACGAGTTAACGAACCTGCATAGAAATATCGCTGCGGTAATTGCCGGACTTCTCTTCTCCATTAAGTAATTGTGTGCAATATATAAATATTACTTAATATATAAATAATAACATTACTTAATGCGTAGAATTCAGTATTACTTATGCTTTGACGTAATGCTGGTAGATTCTGTAAAGCATTACTCGCCATGTATGAGGATATTATTTTATTTCTGATAGTTATGGAAGAGATCTGTAGACTTTTTTACAAACTTTCAGCCACTGCAGAGCTGTCATAACAGATCATATCTGCTTATAAATATTTCAAGATATTTTTTTCATTTTTCTTGGTCTGTAAGACTCCTGTAATCAGTTTCTGTTTATAGGGGTTCGAATTTGTCGCATTTCTTATCATTACAACTTGATATGCACTGGTCGAACGAAACGCATTTTAAAATTTAACCTTTAGGAAAAATGTCTTTCATCATTACAGTTGAAGAAAACGATAATGTTCAATCTCTAAAAGTTTTTCTGATAAAATAAATTCTCTGCGACAACTCCCGTTTCTCCTCACACAATCAAATTTTCCTTTCTTTGATAAAGATATTTCAAGCAATGCTATATTCTTTAATGAATAAGCCTATATATGTTCTTTAATTAAAGAGCGTAACATATGTAAGGTATTCCTCCCGCCTTCCTAGCTAGGCTTCGTGGTGTGGTGGTCAGCACACTGAGCCGGTATTTCAGAGGTCCGTGGTTCGGTTCCCGGCGAAGGCGTTTGCTCATTTTTCATCTTGCCTGCTTCCAAAAATACCTAATGTCTCTACACCTTAAGCTTTCTTAGTAAGCAATGTCAAGTCTTATTACAAGGCTGTTTCCCTGTTTTTTCACTTTTATAATGTTCCCCTTCGCTCATTCATTAGCTGAACGTGGTGAGAGCAATTAATTGTCTTTCTTCGATTTCCAGAAATTATTTATTTGGCTCTTTTTTAAGCAGATAAACCTAAATCTATTCTTTGCCACGAAGATTTCTAATTCCTAAATCCTTCTTCATGATTTCTGTAATTTTAAAAATATAATATCTTTTAACGAGAAAAGTCGAAGTTTGATGGAAAGGTATAAAAATAAGCTTTAAAACTCAAAGTTTCTCTTAGTTGCATTTTAAAAATTCATTTTATTGATCAATGAAAACTTTTTATAATATTTTAACCCTCATATGACAGATACTATTTACCAAAGCAAACGGTTGTCGGCTTTTCAATTCTAGAAATGTTATTAAAATCTGCATTTGAAGAATAAATTAAACTGCCTTGATTTTCTATTTCGGATAAAATATTATTTGAGCCAAAAAGGAAACAGTAAATCGACGAAACCAAAATGATAATAACTGCAATAAAACCATCATAAAATGAGTCCTTTTTTATGCATTCGTTACCTATTTCCTTGTCCTTTTATGACGCATGGAGGAGACATCTTCATTAATGTCCTCACATATATTTCCCCGCTTTTGTGGCTTCAGCCTTCACGATCTTTTTTCATATTTATATTTTTCTCAAAAAATTTCTTAAATTACCCTTCTTCTCAAATAAAGTTTGTGAAACTAGACATTCGTGGCCTGAACTGATAGAGCATTCATTGGCTATTTTTGTGATTAAACAAACCCAGCTCAGGTGGCAGAAAAATGAAGCAGATTTTTTGAAAAGTGGCATTTGATTCTAATGCATACGTAACAGATTCAAAAAGTGAGAAAAGAGAAACTCCTTAAAGAGCATAAAATAATACTTTTTTAATAAAGTATCAGTATGTGTTATTTTTTTATATTGCACCTCAAAGGAGACACATTAAAGTGTAGTAACGCATGTACGATTAGTGTGAAAAATCTCCCATTTAAGATCAGGTTATTTCTTACTTCAATATTACCGGAAATTTTAGAGAATATATTATTTAAATGATTCATCTTATTTACAACATATAGATCCAGTCTACATAACCACACCAATACTACACATTCGCTGAAGTTGTAGAGACATTAGGTATTTTTTGGAAGCAGGCAAGTATGAAAAATATGCAACGCCTTCGCCGGGAATCGAACCACGGACCTCTGGAATACGCGCCCAGTGAGCAGATCATCACACCACGAAGGCTTGCCAAGGAGGCGGGAGACTCAGAAGATGTATGTCAAAGACTGTTTCAAAAAACAGTCTTTGATATACATCTTCTAACACAGAAATTCATGAAAGGCATGTTGCGATGGCAATAACTATATTTTTTTTAATTAAGTATGGAAGACCCTCCATATGTCTCGGAAGATTCCCAACTTTGAAACTGTGATTCAGAGGCATTCCCAACTTTGGAAAGACTTTCCAAAGCAGTCCCGAAAGGAATGCCACAAAACAGTCTATTTCATAGGCTTGAATTGTTCATAAATCACTACGCAAACAAAAGGTAAATTAATGTGTAATAAAATTGCTTCTGAAATTTTCAATTGCACTATTATAAATCTTAGTTTTTGAACTAATAAACCATCCATTCATTTACGCTTTACGTTTTACATTTTGTTGACATGCACAGTATCTCCTGGCGAAATTTTTCTCCCTGTATATTCTTCCCATTAACATTTTAGCATCAGGTTTAGAAAATTTCAAAAGTACTGGCATAATTTTCCCCTTCCTCAATGCATTTTGAGAACGATATCCCTTGAGTTTAAAACTGGAATCGTCCACATAATGAATTAGTTTCTAGCAAAGACAAATCCTTGCAATATACCTACAAAGTTCATGCCGAACCTTTCCCTAATAACTGTTGAACTTTAGGCTAGCCTAATACAAGAACCGATCCATCAATCCGAAACTGACATCGTCTACGATTTGGCTGATTCAGCTGCATATTCACTTTCTCAAATTACTTACTTATGATTTGAAGCCTAAGCAGTATCAGAGACAACAAGAGCAAACACGATTGAAGTTACAAGGATGTAAGAAATGAAGATATCTTATTATATATTGTACTGCTAATGTTACTGTATATTCTTATTGAAATGTAGTTTTCTTATTATGTTGTTTACCGATAATAAATACCGATTATCCGTAAATATTTTTCATGCGTTTTGTTCTTGCTCTAACCTCGTCCTTCGGAAATCAAATTATTCGCATAATGCATAATAATATGCCCTATAATTGGTTAATTCTACTCTTAAAATATAACTAGAAGCTGAACTTTTATAATATCGTGAACAGAGCTGCTGAACTTAATCATGTCGATTCTGTATGAAACTTAAAATATAGGAACTAATAAAAAAGAAGTTTTTTAATGAACTTTTAAGTTTACCATTTTAAAATGAACTTGATGTAATTTACGCTAGTTGATGAAAGGATGTAATTTTATGTAAACAGCATTATAATTCCATACATTCAATCGCTAATGTATGTCTTAGGCCATGTGACTCAATTATTGTCGAACACTATTAAATTATTTTAAGTGATTGTATTTATTTTAGTAATCACTGTATATAAAAAGAAATACAAGCCAAAAACTTCTGATTGAACTTTTAATTAAAGAAATATTATTCACTTATTTCAATTCATTTTCCGTTTTAAATTAGCAAGTCTATTTTATTGCTCCTTTCGCTTTTTGAGTAATGGAGATCTTTGACACATTCTTTCGAAATACACAAAGTTGGTCTAAAGAAAATTGCCTAAATCTAAAGTTGATATTTCCTTAATTTTAATGTAATATGCCATTTATACATTTCTAGTAATTTTATATTAACATATGACAAGATAACTTTAATTCCGTTATGTTCTTCCTTCTCACGTTCAATCTAGTCAATATCTTAATAAATTTTAATATGACAAATGTGTTTTAATGAATGAAGTCTAGTCTACCGCTCTGAGTATTGCCTACTTTCTGAATTTTAATGTAAGGAGTTTTGACTGTCTTAATTTTTCTAGGTTTTATGCGCAATGTTTCTGTTTTACGTTTCAATTTGCAAATTAGGAAAATTTAAGCTTAGTGTTTTTTTGTTTCTAATTCTCTATACTAAATCAAAACTAGAACTAATTAAGCGCAAACAAAAAGAGATGACTAAATAAACAAAATATTTCTTTCTCTTTCCAAAATAAATTCTGAATTGTATGAAAAAAAGTATTTTTAAAGATCAATTCAAATCTGTTCTTAAATCCACTTCAGAAGCGATTACGCTTAATATGTTCTGTTATAATCAATCTCCAGATTTGACGTATTATCGAAGTACGAGTATGATTGTATTACGTACTCGTGATATTTGCTATCAATGTCCTCGCGTAATCTTTGAATGAAGAGGGTTTTCAATGCAAAATAATTCACATGAAACGTAATCAATAAAATGGTCTTAACTACTGGTCTATGAACTTAATGGTCTATGAACATTCTAATATGATTCTATAGAACTTTCATGATTATTAGTACCGGAAACCTTTTATCATACTATTCCCTGTTTCTAAGCGTTGTGCTCGATTTTTCAGTTTTGAATCTGTTGCACCCGGAATGTATGCTTCTGTGAACAAACTGGATCTCATGGATGCACATTTTGACTGCCTACATAATTTATTATGTTATGCAAGTTTAATCTTTCAGAAAAATCAGAAACAGAAGCTAAATCTTTGAAATTATATCTTATAAAGATTTTCTTCAATAAGAGATAAATAAAGTATAATTAAGCAGTTTACTGGGTTTCAAAAAATAAACTAATACGTGTATCCATCATATAAGAAAATTATTAATCTGCTGCTAGCTACACAGTTTATGGTTTTAGAAACGTTGTTCATTCATTTCACAAATAATAAAAATATTTATACAAATTATCGTTTAAAACATATTGTTTAGTACCATAAGTAATCTTTATAAATTCTTCATTGCCTTTGATGTGAATTATTCAGAAGTATGCTGTTTATAAAAACTTATTTTCATCAGTAAGCAAGACACTATATAATTTCAAAGATTTAAAATTTAAAAAACAGGTAAAAATTATCAAGAATTACGTTATACTTCTTTTTGAAATCGATCAAAATGTTATGCTGATATACAATGTCCACAATTTCCAGAGGTAGTTTGAAATACAGATTAAAAATCGCCTGCCGTAATGAAGTACAAAGCCTATGGCAACAAGAATGATAACAAAAATGACAAGAAATTACCGCAAATATGGAAAGACTACATTCTTTACGTTCTAATACCAAAATTTTAATTTACATCAGAAAAAAGACCAGTAAAGTGTGTATTTTATGTAAATATGATATAGTTAAAATACTGCATATGCTGATTAAAACTAATTCGACATATTCGGGAAATGTAAAGTGCAGGATGAGTGGTTTTGCAAGATTACTCATGGCTACGTTATTACATTATTAAACCGTTATATATAAAGCTCACGGCGCTAACATTCAAGTCGGTCGCTGTTCCGAAATCTTGTTTTATCAGAGTGCCTCTGGCAGACAGGCGTCCGTATGTTATGCAGATCAGTTTCTAACTGGTAAAAAGCAAACCATTGTATATGTAAAATTTAACTTTGCTCACTAATCCCCAGAGCAAATAAAACCTCTGCGGGCATAGCAGTGCATAAAGGAGCCTGCACCTCAATGACGGGGTATCCTGATGAAAGTTTTTAATTACCAGTTCACATATAGATACCGGTACTTTTAATACGAGAAATCGTTTCAAAGGTATCTCATCCAGACACATATTGCGTTTCTTTATTATGCTTTGCATTTAAAAACATCTTCGCATACGTTCGGATTGAAGATTAAAGGATATTAAAACTTAGAACGATTAATCTGTCAACTTAACCAGTTATTTGGTTTCTGATTTTTCTTGCTTTCCTGAAACATAAACCCGGAAAATGAAAGAAAAAAGTTTTTGCAAAAACTTCAAAATGAAATTTCATTACCATAAGAGTAAATAAATTGAAACGCACATTTTTCAAGCATCAGAAACGCCTTTACAAAAACCTCTTTAGAATTGATGATGGCCACTGGTATCATAGTAATGATGGTAACACAATTGATGATGGTCTCTGTAGATCCATTAATAATATTAAACTGCATTTAAATATTGTTAGTAAGATGCTCACACAAATGAAGAAACTTTGTCACACTCTTTTTAGCTAAATTCATAAAAGTACTGTTTAAACTGTCTGATTTTTCCACTCTTAATTTTAGATGTCGAAATGTAGTTTCTAAAGAAGTGGAATTTAATTAGCTGTAACTTATTCTCTCTGCAATGTCAGCCAAGATCGGCATTCTTTGATCCAGTTTCTGTGGCTCTATCGCTTTAAGGTTAATTAAAAATAATGTATGCATAATAAAACGTATTGATGTACTTTTGTATAAATAAACTTTATATTTATTTGTCTCTTTCTCTTTTAGTTGTTATTTCTTGCGTCTAGAATTTTATGATATAAAATAACGTACAGACGTACAGATACATAAACGTACAGAAGATTTCGTGAAAAGAAAATTTTAAAATATAGCATAAAAATAGGGGTTTTGTAAACCATTTGTGTATCTAAAGATTTAATCTACACTTAAAGTATACACTCATTTATCTTATTATGGTACCAGCAACATATCGTCCTGGCAATTATTTTAACTTAGAGTTTAGGAGACTAATGATTATAGCAAGAATTCATTGGTATGGTAGTTAAAAATGAAAGTTTTTTTTTGGTGTTATGGTTTGGTTTTTGGTATTATGAGTTTATTCGTATTATTGGATAAAGAATTCGTAAGAGCTCGATCGTCACTTCTTGTGAGGTCTGGAAATACAACAAACTTAAATATGTATAAGACAAATAAATAAATTTTATACCTATAAAAACTGTTGAAAAATGGCTCATTGGACACCTTATAAAAGTGGCTGTATCTCTAGCTCCCTACCTATGTCCTCATGAACCACTCAATAGAACACTGAGCTGTCAGTCTGCCAAAAACAATAATATAGGTATCCTCCTATCATACATTATCCCCATCACCGAATTTTGTCTTTCAATTCTATATCAATGCTTTGATACTGTACCTTAACCAATATGTTTTTAACACAATTCTTTCAATGTCACAAGTTTCTTCTGTCTGTTT